CCCCCCCCCGCCCCCCACCCCCGACATGACGCTACAAGCTAGTTCCCGATCGCTCCCAAGAATACGAATATAATCTGGATTAGGCCTAGTCCAAACGTCTAAAATTTCATGAGACGAGCCAAACTCTAATTTGAGTCGAGCTAAAATAAGTTAAGATCGTCTGTCAGGCCAAACGTCGAACTAAGGACGGGTCGAACAGATCAAAACGCAATTTAATAACTTTTCTCCCAAACGAGGCTAAATATACATTACCATACAACCTTTTCATTTATTAGTTTAGCTCGTTGGGTGTGAAGGTCGACGGATGTCCCGGAGATGATCTTCACACGTTGTAGACTATCCGTCTGAAGCAGACGGACACAACGTGTTGGACGATCCAAATTCATTCAGACAAACTTAACTGAGCCAGACGTCGAACTTTTCATGAACTTAACTCACTAAGTTTGTTCTGTCCCATGAAAAGTTCGACGTTTGGCCTAGGCCTTACAAAAAGGAATTTAATACTAGACATTTTTACTTCACTAAACTTTATTCCGTTGAGTTTAAAATCTAACTATATTATTCTAAAAACCAAATTTACCGCATTTGATGCTAAAGGTAGTTTGAACTGTTCTCTTTTGCTTGTTTGTAATAAATGTTCATTGCTGATTCTTAAAGAAAGATACAGTCCATTCACAACAAAATCGCTCTTGGCTTAACGCTAACTAAACTAAATCATAGTGAAATACAGTTTAAATATTTTAATATAAACTAAATTATAATTTCTTTTCGTTATATTTGTCACTCTCATACAAACCTCATTGAAATATAAGAATTCTATACCAATTGTTAGTTACAATACTAAACAACCGTTAAAACTACAAGTAACTCATGCTGTATTAACCTTGGTCACACTGGACCAGATGGCGTACAGGACACAATAATCAGTTACAATATTTATCAAACTCTAAGACCCTGTTTACATGGAGTGGGGGACCCCGGTCTAGTGGGGTAGGTATCTTTTGTTTTGTGTCCCCCAGAGCGTGAAAACAAAAGAAACCAACCCCACTAGACCGGGGTCCCCCACTCCATGTAAACAGGCCCTAAAACTACTAGTAACTCATGTTGTATTCATCTTGGTCTCAACGGACCAGATGTCTTGCAAGTCACAATCATCAGTGACAATATTTATCGAACTCTAAAACTACCAGTAACTCATGTTGTATTCACCTTGTTCTCAACGGACCAGCTGTCTTACAAGTCACAATCATCAGTTACAATATTTATCAAACTCAAAACTACTAGTAACTCGTGTTGTATTAACCTTGGTCACACTGGACCAGATGGTGTACAAGTTACAATCATCAGTTACAATATTTATCAAACTTTAAAACTACTAGTGACTCATGCTGTGTTAACCTTGGTCACACTGGACAAGATGGCGTATACAAGTCACAATCATCAGTTACAATACTTATCAAACTCTAAAACTAATAGTGACTTATGTTGGAATATTTGCAAGCTTTCCTTTTTGATCGACAATATTTCCGAATGATCATTCCTCTGTATAAATGTGTACCTTATTTTCGAAGCACAACAAATTCTTGAAACATTTGGCACTTGACTTGATTTACTCTCCATAGAAAGTTACAGTGCGTTCAAATGAAAATAGTGATCTGCATTTTAAACGAAGTTTACTAAAGTCATATATGCGACTTTCATTTGTAGCGCAATGGTTGTTAACGTTCAATCTAAATGTTGTCAACGAAGACCTCTTCTCTAGAAGGCGGCAAATATTGGGTAACCAGTCTGCAGTGGCTTCTCTGCAGATGTTGATGGTCAGATTGAGTGTACTAAACGATGTGTTCATATGGTTCATCGCTTCAAACCAGTATGTGTTATAGCCTTCAAGCCGCTCACCTTCAGAGTACATATTCATTATAAGGGTGACCGTAGTTAATGACTCGTTCAACGCCAAACCATTATGCAGTTCAGAGGCCCACAACTCACAAAATAGGGAATCGTCATAACTGCTGGTTGTCACAGTAAGAGTAGTTACTGTCTCGTTTTCTGCCAGTCCTTCAAACACTCTCTCTATCCAGGAGTAACGAGGAGAGGTGTAATCGTTCATTGTCAGAGTCAATTCGTTTAATGATGCAGTTCGCGCTAAGCCATCAGCCAGACCTTTATACCAATATTCAGACTCATCGGAGACAGCTGACACGTAACAAAACGAATCAACCGAATCGTTGTCGTTCTCGTTGTCGTTTTCATTCTCGTTGTTGTTTTCGTAGTTGTTAACTGTAACACAGAGTATGGACAATGAAGTGTTTTCCACCAAACAGTTTCGCAAAAAGCAACTCCAGAATTCATCCAAATTACTGCCATTGATTACAACGGAAAGTGTCGACAATGAAGTCATTACCATCAAACTCTCACCCAAACTTTCTGCTGTCCTCTGCGCCCCATGATCTTCAATTGCAAGACTGAGTGTAGTTAATGAAGTCACCTTGGCCAAGCAGTTCACCAATCTACATTCCCAGCCTTTTGCCATGTTACTGTAGTTGTTGATTGCGAGATTTAAAACTGTCAGAGAAGAGCTTCGCAACAAACTCTCCCCAAGTTCATTCCCTAAGTCTGCTGTCGGGTTTATTATTAAGTTGTTGATCGTAACATCGAGCGCGGTTACTGTCTTGTTTTCTGCCAAAGCATCACCAACAAGGTGTGTCCAGTCTTTACTTGCACCATCGTCGTTAATGATTTTTAATTTGATCTTTTCTTCTCTGGTATTCTTGATTGTATTGAGTACTGACGAAAGTGATTCAATACTGTCAATACAGACATCAAGGCCATTGCACGATTCGTCTGGGACGACAAAGACGTCATGAACATTTACCTCGACATTTACGTGGTTACCCGATAGTCCCTGAAGAATAGCACCTGTTTCTGGGTCCAATTCCCCCCAAACATCAATCGTCATGGAACAAAGTGTCTTGTGTCGTCTTATATATCTTGCAATGCAATTAGCCACTGTATAAGTTAATTTTCCATGCACTTTTAAAGTAAGGCTTGTCAGTGGGGAAAGTACCAAGGCTTTAAATAGAGCTTCTGCCCCATCACAACTCAGCTCACCCCAATGGACTACAGTTAAATGTTGTTTCGTCTGAAAGCCTTTCTCGACCACATCCGGACCAGGACAAAAATAAGCCAATTGATTATGCGTTATTCTTCCGCACGAACCTGGGTAAACACTTAAAGTAACTAACGCCTTATTTCCCAAACGAACACGTTCCGGAAGAGCTTGCCAGTTGTCTGGAACTCTTCCACGGACAGACACTTTCAAATCCTTTAGAGTACGATTTTCTAAAAGGCCTTTTTCTAGCACATTAACAGCAAAATTACTAAGGTCGCCACTGACGCCAAGATTGAACGACTTTAATGCGGGTTGTTGTGCGATTCCCTTACCGATAATAGTAGCTAGGAAGTCTTGCATGTCCCCAAAAATATTCAGGGAAAATGAGGTTACAGCTTCATTTGATAACAGCTTTCCTAATCCGTGGACCGCGGTATCACTCAATGACCCACGAACGCTGAGGCTCACAGACGACAAAAGAGTGTCAGCAGACAATCCAGTTTCAATAGTATTGGCCCAAGCTACGCCGTGTACTCTACGAAGTAGAAATTTTACGTTCTTCAAGGATTTACGTGAAGCCAACAATTCACCGATGGCAACAGCTGCATCACAAGGGATACTGCCACACACTTCAAGAGTAAACTCTGATAAAGTCGTGTTTCCGGATAAGCCGTTACGTAGGGCTATGGCTAGATCTGATTTCATCGCAGGGGTAAAAATACTAAGAGTCTGAAGCTCAGAGCAAAATTGTATGTACTCTACAACAGTCTGATAGTCACTGTCTTTCAGTCTGAGTCGATCATGAAACGTAAGGCAAACTGGTTTCTGCAAATTTGAAAACTTTCTAAAGGCCTCTAAAACGTGATAAATATAATAACTGGAAGGAAGGGTAATCTCAACATGCGCAGGAAACGGTAAGCAGAAACAAAAGGTCTCTGCCATTTTTTCAGCATGTCCAGTTTCACTGATGCTTTTCGTAAGGAAAGTTGCTGCTTCCCAGCCTTGGTCCCCCTCGTCGTAGTTGTGACAGTCATCCCAGTCATCTTCCCTCTCTCGGTCATCCATTGTCACCACTCCAGACTGTGTGCACCAGACCCAGTCCCATTTTCCCCAGTTTTTTAGCTCCTCGCCAATCTGTGTGAATAAAATGTTTGCATCTCTCCCAAGTATACCAGAAACAAAAAGAAACACTTCTCGATACTTTTTCACTAGTTCATGAAAACTAAGACGCTCAAACAACCTTAACTGGTTTCCTCGCAACTTGTGAGCAATAAAGGCGGCAGCCAGGTACTCTTGGAAGGTCTTGTGAAGAAAATAGTACTCATGTTGAGGCTTTAACCTGCTCAGACTTTCTTCTTTGTAAACTAGGCCTACGTGACGAGATACTAATCCTTTGTATCTTCTTTCAAGCGCAACTAATTCACTTTCAAGAAAACAATAGCGATCACTCAGCAAACACAACCAAGCTAACTCTCCAAGTGCGAGAATGGTCTCTTCAAATTGTTTCTCTAAGGCGCTGTTTTCTTTAGGAGCCTCTAGATTGTGTTTAACGCAAAGTCTCCTTAAAAGGCACAGTACAATAACTTGGTAGAGCTCAGAACGGGAAGACGGCAAATTCCCCTCATAGTCCTCATAAATAACACAAAGAAGAAGTAAATTTAGAGGATTATTTCGCAGGGCATGTAACAGAGTGTTTTCTTCCATTTCCTTAATGAGACTTTCTCCCTTTGATGAATGCAAGGGACCAACATTTTTAAAATGTTTTCGGATATAATCAAAAGCATCACTCTCTGTGAATCCTTTAATCTCCAAGAGGATATCGAAGCCGTACCTTTTCCGTACATCAATTCCCCTCTCTTGTCTGGAGGTAGCCAAAACATAACAAAATGATAAAATTCTTCTTAGAAGCAGTTTATCTACATATCGTTCGGAATCTTTGGGAAGCTCATCCAAACCGTCCAAAATGATTAAAGTTTTCTCCTGGTTATGAAAGTCCTTAATGAAATCAAATAGTCTTTCTTTAGTCTTCTCCTCCATATCTTCTGGCAACAGTTGTTCACTGATGGTTTCCATTATATCTTCATGTATGTCTCGACATTTCAAAAGCAACACGATCTCGAATTTGGGAAAAGAACACTCGGCTGGGATTTTTCCATGTGCCCAGTCATACGCAAGTTTAAGGCAAAACGTAGTTTTACCGATTCCTGGACTTCCTTCAACAAGCGTCATAACATCCTCACCTTTGTCAAGAGCTCTGAAGATGTCCAACACATTTACCTCGTTATCATCCACCCGGAAGTCTGCTTTTCGCCTTGAAACGATTTTAAGTCTTGTGTAGACGTCATCCAGGGGTAACTCGATGGTGCTATCCCAAAGAAGTGGTCTTAACTGTGAGCGCCTTTTGTATTCAGCTTTGAGAAGTTTCACAACAACTGAGATGTACGAGTCTGCTGGAAAAAGAAGATCGGAAGTATTTTTCATTAATTTGTAAAATACTGACCTCTCATTCATTTGATCAGTAGAATGACCGAAAATTCTTTCTACCTTCAGTGGCTTGTGAGTAAGTTAAAATATATACGCCACCTGAAAATCTTTACCGTCGTTCCTTAAAATTAAGGAGCTTACGCAAAAGGACGACAGAAAGACTGAGATGTCGGCAAAACGTTTCTGTGTGACAAACATGAACGGGTTATCAATTACGAGTTTTGTCGTGATTTTCATTTACCAATAACGTACTCTGGTCTTTTAAACTGAGATGTGTTTAAAGGAAAGTGAAGTTTGGCGGAAAAATTTTGAAACAAATCATTGACACGCTTCTCACTCAAGGTTTGCTGTCTTCTTTCCTTCGGCTTCCTTTTGCGTAAGTTCACCTTTAGTGAACTCACTATTTGCTCTTTCTGGCTGTGCGCAGATAGGCTTCACAAGACAACGTTGAATAAGGAAAGCTAAGGAACAGTAACTATCGGACAGCTGGAGCTCGCACCAAATTTTTTAACTTATTAGTTAATACCAAATTTCTGTGTTTTATTTCCTCACTGCATGATACAGCACCACAAAAACTAACTTCTTTATCATATTGGGATTAAATCAAAAAGTTCTAAAGTATACTGCCACAATTACTCTTCTGCCACATTTACACGTAAAACGCATTCTTTGTAAAATTACGTCGCCTTAAAGATTTTGCTTTTGTAACACATCATTGGTGATCCATCAAAGTCTTTAGGCAAATGTCATAACTCTCAGAAAGGCTTCGTTTATCTTGTCAGAGTTAACAAACTTCAGATGGAAAATTTGTTAACTGAGAACAAACAAATAAACCAAGAGGAAACTTTTTTGTGCTGCGCCTCTGGTAGTGACAAAAAAAAAACAAACAACAAAACAAAAAACAAAAAGCACTGAGTTAGGAACTAAACCGTTGACCATGCATAATCTTTCACTCAAGCAACTGTAGCGCGACTTGACTACATTTTTGGCCAAAATGTGCTCAAAATTCTAAATGAGCCTTATTGTAGCTTGAGGGTGTTTTGAAGCACGTTTCGAAATTGGGAGAGTGGGTCAGACGTGGAAAGCGTACAATCTGCTCCAAGCGTGAATGAGAGCGACTCAAGCCTTGTGACAGCCCAACTTTAAACCGGAAGCAGGGCCGTACGGGCATTATAAAGCCTCAATCAAGGAACACAAAATCACCCACTTTGTGTTACTTCCGATGCAGTGTGTGATACTAGTCCTATAGTCCTTGGAGCAGTTTTCAGGATGTTTGTAACGTGAACCTAGTTTAGTGGCCTAAGCTCCCACCAGTCACCTGTAGCTCAGTGGTAGAGCATCTCTACCTGTAAACAGAAGGTCATAGGTTCGACTCCTATTCGGGGAGTATTTGAATTTTTTTACGAGCCACCTGTATCACACACTGCGGAAAAACATCTTCCCCACTAAGATGGTTGTACATATACAATATACATGAAAAGAAACAACTAACTCTTATTCAAACTTGAACAAAAACAAACCTTACCTTCATCTTTCAATAGCCTTGGGTACTTTGGAGCTGCAATGTTACTTGAAGATAACGGCCTTTTGCCTTTCTTGGAAGACTGGCGTTTCTTTGCCGAGCCTAAAATCCAATCAAATACTTGTTTTGTACTTTTCCCCAATATTATATTTTTTTTTACCTTTACCCTACATACACTGATAGTCAATCCTTATATCCATTATATTTGCAATTTTTTAAAATAAAACATTGTTCGAACTAGCCACATAAATGTGGCAATTCTATTAAATGTGGCCATTCTATCAACGAAGAATCTTTAAAAGTCGACTCTTGAAAAATGTCCATTGAACGGGTTTTCCTCGTCAGGTCTTTATAACTTATCCTTGAAAAATCAATCAGAAACGGCGAAATATTTTGATAGAATAATAAACACTGATAGTCAATCTTCATAACCATTATTTTTAAATAGAATATTGTACGAACTAGCTACATAAATGTGGCTTTTCTGTTAACGAAGTTTGAAAAAGACCTGTCGCGCGTTCAAGCCCTGAACGTTGTAATTTCCAGACGCTGCAAAGCTCTGTTGAATTGAACTAATCAAACAAAAACACAGAAGAAGAAAGACTTGGATTCTGGAGTCCACATTGGGGATTCCAGATTCCAGATAATGGATTTAGGATTCAAATCGTTAAATTCCAAGGCCAACGATTCCGGATTTCACAAAAAAATTCCTGAATTCCAGATTCCACAAGCAAAAGTTTCCCGGATTCTGAAATCCATTGTTGTTTTCTCAATAGAGGTCCAGAGGGAACTAGACGCTTTGTCTCTTTTTATGCGCAGATCATGTTTGCACGTGAATAAGATATAATTTGAAAGAAACAGTCCCCTAGAGTATTAACACATGACCTGCATTGAAAAACAAAACATACAATCTAAAGAGGTCTATTGTTACTTATCACCTCGACACCCAACAATGGCCAGGATTTAGATGTCGCAAGCTGAAAATTTCACTGAAAATAACCTACAATATTCAAAACAACCAAGCCTCTATGATAAAATGCAATTTCCTTATGCTGTGACCCATTACCCTATTTAGCACGAAAAACGTAAACTTGAAACGAGTATTATTTCTCGGCATCTAACATTGTTAACCTGTAACCAGTGTGAAAACGTTTTGACCTTGTAAGTCAGCCTTAAACGAGTCTTGTTCAATGCTTCGACCATTTCTTAGTTATTTAACATCCCCACAAGGAATAAGTACATCTCCCAGTCCTTCCTACATAGAAACCAATGAATTGCTCTTGTGGACATATTGTTTATGTTTCTAAGATTCAACTGTACCTTTATAAAGATGTTTTTCAGTTGTAGGGGGCTTTTCATCATGACAGATCACAGTGGTTTTCTTAGATAAATTCTGCGCATCTGCACTGGGACCTACATAAAAAAAAACACAAATGTAGCAATAGAATAATTCGTTACTTTTGACCCTCATGGTTGGGAAGAAGACGTTGAAACGTATCGCGATTTTGAAACTCTCAGAAATTGGCAAATGTAGGTGGACTTCTCTGGTGGAGTTATTAACAAGAGGTTGATAAATTTGTCGTTGTGAAGTTTTCACTCACGTTGTAGTTATAACTGCGTGAACTTACATTTCCTAATGCCAGCAGATTACACAATACCAAGACCAATTTGAATTAAAAAGTGAACCAGTTACCTTGAGAAATGGCAAGCATTCGTTCCACAAGTCTATTACAGTGATCCTGCCAGCTGTATATCTCTGCATACTCTCCGTGAAGAAGCTTGGCCTCTCTCAGTCGAAGCTTCCTTTTTTTCTTCCGAACAGCTTTGATTGCATTGGCCCAATCTTTAGGATCTTCTGATTCCACCACACAGTTTGAACCATTTGGAACTTCCTGTAAGGCCTCGCCAAGACCAGAGTTCCCACCGACCAGCACAGGCAGACCAGCAGATAAAGCCTCAAGGGCGGCTAGACCGAAGCCCTCAGTTCGTGATGGCATTATAGCAAGATCTACTTCACAAAACAATCGGGCTAACTGCTCTCTGCTTTCATTGAAACAACGCACAGTTAGTTGACTTCGATCAATGCCTTGCTTAAGTAACAAATCTTTCACTTTCTCCTCTTCTCCACTTGGAGCTCCAACAAACAACAGCTTATAGGGCTGTGGCTCGTCTTTCAACTCGGCAATAGCGCGAGCAGCGATGTCATATCCTTTTAGCTGAAAGTCTTCATTGTCACCACGTCCAAATACTAAAACACTGAATGTTTTTCTTTCTTCAGTGGCTTGATTTACCTCAGAAAATTCAGAGAAGATGCCTGGGGTAAGATTGAGAACATCTTGATCCTTTCCACAGGCACGGAGATAACCTGAGAAAGCTTCAGCCAGCTTGGGACCAACTGCTACAACTTGATCAGCTTTTTCACAGAGTTTTACCTCAGCCTGGTGCTTTTTCTCACCTTTTGAAATAGCATCTGCGTAGGACTTGTACATACCAAGCTCTTCAGGAGCTGTATGAACGACCTGAATCCACTGGCACTTACACTGACGTTTTATACCCTGCACTTGCCGACCAAGAACAGCCCCATGTCCTATCACACAATCGACAGAATGGCTTTCAGGAAGAAAGGACAACCAGTCTACTGGGTTGTCATAACCTGGCATTTCTTCTGCTTCAATAAGATGTACATTGTGACTTGCAGCAACTCGTTTATCCTCTTGACTGCACTGAGGGAGATAAACACTGACATCCGTTTGGGGATCCTTAGCCAACTGAATGGCCAGCTCTCGGTTGATAGTTGACAAGCCTCCTTTTGTTGATCTCCATTCACTGCTTAACAGAGTTACTCTCAATTTCCTGGAGGAAGTGGTTCCTAAAATGCTTTCATGGTCTTCCTGTGATGTAGAGGCTGTGCTAGGAAAGGATGGCAAATCCTGAAAAAGGAGTATCAAATTTACCAAAGGGCTTCATACATGTAACAAAGGCTTTTAGCTACTGGTAAGTTCATAGAAATTGGAATTAAGTTGTGAAACTCAAGCTTTGTTCCTCCAATCACTGCTGCTAGTAAACCATACAGGAGGTTAACAAACATTTAGGTAAAGTGAGGTAAGCTTAATTATTTATACAAATTCAGAACTATACTGGTATCCCTTTTTTCCAAAACTAATCATAATATTTCGACTGACAGTGTATAACTGACACAATTTGAAACAGATACTCATATTCCGAAGCTTGGGCTACCTGTGGTATTACATGTACATGTATATCTCCATAGTGGCAACAGGGTCAATAATATCTAATCAAAATTAGCATTTTACATAACAACAGCATTTTCTTGAACATAAACAGTACAATACTGATAAAAAGTTCAATTGCTCTTTTAATGGCTAAGAGCAGCAAAGTTCATTATACACTGTACATGTACATAATGGGAATCCCACAGTTTGATTAGAGGAGAGATGACCTAGAAGTAAAAAATGTCAAAGATGAGGTTCATTCCTTGGATTGCCTCAACAACAATATTATTTTGTAACTGCTGTGACTGAGTACAACATTAAAAACTGCCCATTTAATTTCTTGAGAGGGAAAAGGAAACTTATCAGTTTTTCACTCAGCATTCCATTACAATACAGAGATTAACACTTAAAACAAGCCAATGCCCTCACACAGCCAGAGATTATCTTCATTCAAAGAGCATGAAACACAAGAGGAGTTTTACCCCCCACCCCCACCAAGATGGGATGCTATATGTAGTTCACCACAGCTTTCATCCCTGCAGTAATTGCCGTCAGTAAACACAAAATCAAAGAACTGTGAGGAGAGAAGTAGTTTCTTGTCTAAGAAAATCAAGTGACAGCACAGAAAGGGCTCAAATCAGTCCTCCCCTAATCCAGAGTCTGCAGCCCTGCCAACCTCGGAGATTCATATACATGCATCACCAACCAGCCCGCTTGAATCAGTCAGAAAGAGAGAGATTGTTGCCAACTTTCACAGGCCAGGTGACCAGTTGCCTCAGTCTGGCATGACTGGGGGCCTTGAAAATTTTTTCAATTGATATGTGTGGAATACTAGCAGTAACCAACAATTGGGAAGTGCACATGAACATTTGCATTTACTTCAGAGATGTGATTGATGGATTTCATAACACAGTGGAACCTCTCCTTTGGGACAACTCTATTCAGCAGACACAAAATTTGCTCTAAGAAAAACTTCCACATAATTTTTGTATCTATTACCTCTATTGAAGGGACACCTCTATTCAAGGAAAAGGGACAATTTTTCTGGGCCTTGAAAACCAGGTTTGCCTTCAATAAGGGGACACCTTAGCAATCAAAAACGGACTGACCACAAAGAGGGTTCACAAAGTGTATACTTATCACAATATTATTATAGAAGTTTTCACAAACAGAATTGATGTAATGCACTTTTGTGAATTCACCATAAAATGAATGATAACAGTGAATCATGAAAATGCCTACTTTAAAGGTTATTGAAGCTTTCAGATGACAAGTGATGGAACAGTTGGTTGGAAACATAACTAAACATAAAACCACTATAGAGCTAATATATAGATTTAGCCAGGAATAAAAGTGAAGCTCTCAATAATATTTATAGTTTGCTCAAACAAAATATAAAATCATGTAATGCTAAGTGGCGAAGGTAATGCCGGAGACAGGGAAAAAATATAAGAGACAGGGAACAAGCAAGGTTACATAAATTATGTAAAACCAGCATTGACTAAACTTAAATGTATATGGATTTTAGACTTTGCAATCACTTGTATCTAACCAGACTAAGGCTGAAATCAGGTTCTACTTTTGTTTGACTTGGTAAATAGATTTCTGGCAGGCAAGGCAATTTGAAAAATCTTGCATCTGGCACAGAAAATTACAAGTGGTGTGTTTATGAATCAACCTGTCCTTGGTTTTGAACACTCAGTAAGATAACAAATGTTCAAATTTTTCCTTACCTCCATCAGCCTGGACATCACAGGAATCCTAAAACTCCTTTAATGCTGATTCTATAAGAGGAACAGAAAAAGTAAGTAATTTATTACTTCAATAGTGGTGCAGTATTATCTTCTGCCATTCAACAATCTTTTAGTGCAGATTAACAATTTTTGGTATTAATTTTTATTGGCACTAGCTTTTGAAATTGGCACAGTCTTGAATTTCTCACTGGAAATTGACTCATACAGTTCTTGGTAATAGACACTGTAGATTAAAACACAAAATACAGGCATCCAAAAGATAATTAATATAATAATAATAATAATAACAAAATAATAATATATTTTATTTATATAGCACTAAAACTATATACATATGTGATGAACAATGAACATTCAATCAAAGAGAACCTGATTACGCAATTAAGCTTAGTTTTGTTTTGATTTAAATAAGATACGTTTCTGTTCTGTTTCATTTATCGAGTTTTTACGCCCCTATTTTCATGTGCTATTGTTCACAGTTTGAATCAATTACGTAGCTCACCATTCCTGTTTTCTAACCGGTTTTACAACTGTACACGTGAATTGTACCCTTATCAGAGAACGCCCCTTTAGTTTTTGTGGAGTTGGAGTTAGGAGATCTACGGAGCAACATCGGAGTTTTCACAGCAGTTTTATCTTTTTCGGAGTTACGTAACGTCGGAGTTTCTCTAGCCCTTAAGACAGGATCAGACGTAAGTTTCAGCTTATTGTATTTAGTTTTCGTTTTCCTTTCTATTTTGCTTCTTTTGTAATTAGTCTTAGCCCCTTTTTTGATCTTGTACATTGTAATTTCCCCTTTTAGTTTTCACCGCATGTGTACAATAATTCAGACGAGTTGGTGATCGTATTAAATGCTGTTGAGTCAACTTGTGCTGTTAAATTCTATACTGTGGTTGACACTTCCCGATCTCCAGTGCACAACATCCCGTGTCCGCTGCACTGGGTACGCGACAACATATGTATATGTATATTTAAAACACTAATAAAAGCTGACAAACACTAACACATAACAAATAGTACACTTAGAAAAAATAAAAATAGAACACCACAATCACTGTACATTAATTGGTTCATTGGGCAAAAATTTGCCAAACAAATAAAAAGGTCTTTCGGGGATGGCACTAGGATTTTTTAATCTGGGTCCTTGGACCAACATGTCAGGTGAAATTGGGGTGCCAAATATTTTGGGTGGGTCCCAAAATCTTGGTGACCCTTCCCTAAGAAATTCTTGTTGTTTTATAAGAAAGAGTGACTGGCAAATTACTGTCATACTGTTAACTAAGCTTTATTGTCTTTTTTTTGTTTGAAAACATTAACTTTAGACAATACAATGTATTCTTAATTGTATTCCAGGGGGGGTACTCCCTCATAAGGGCTTAATGGGGACGTGCGGCCAGCCAGGGCATGTTTTTCAGGATTTTTGTCTTAATCAGGGTATCGATTTTATCAATTTTTGTCTTAAACAGGGTATCTTTTAAAATAGTTTTGTGATTGCCAATGGATTAAATAAGAAAGAGTTTCGATATTAATTATTGTCTTACACAGGGTATGTTTTCAGGTTAAGGTGATTCCCTGGTTTTGCACTGCGCATCTCTTACCGCGCATAACAAGATGGCCTCCGTAAAAAAGAGCATGTGAAGTAACATCATTAAAATGAAGTTGACCGAAGAGAAACGCCATTGCAATTTTTGCTTGCGGTTGTTTCTTGCCGAGGTGAGACTCAATGTGGTGAGAATGTGCATAACGTAACCAGTAAGAGTGTTGCTGAGATCGACTTCCTCACGGAGAACCTCGATAGTGGACGTTTAATTTGTGCTTATTCACTTTGATTTTCATTTAAATGCTTTCTTTATCACATTGTGTCCTAAATGTAATATCTCGATGTAAATTCTGTAAAAACGGATTTTTAATACTTTCTTCCCCCTTCGCATACATTCTATTTTGAAACTCGCCCCAGTCCTCTCTTAAAAATCAAGGAAAATGCATTTGGCACGCACTTTCTGCAGCTCTACCGCAAAAACGAGTAAGGTGACCCCCATTTTTTATTTCATGATTTTAATAAGGACAGTGCTTCCTTTTGGTGAGAAAAAAATTGGCTAAAAAAAAAAGTATTGACAACCCAACTTTTGACCAATGTGTTGACAGAATGAGATAAACGGAAGAGCATAGTCAATGTCAAGCATAAGGCCTCACTAGTTTCTACAATGAGAGTGCAAATCATCAATAAGTCATCGCCTGAGCCTCTTGTTTGCAGCCATCCAGCCATTGGTCTAAAAACTGAATATTACGTCTTCCTCCCTTTTCACAGTTCACTGTGATATTACAGGTACATGTAAGTGGGCACTCGACCAGCACAATCAATCAAACAATGAACAAACATGGCGGGAGCTCATTCAAGTTTCCCGGATGTCTAAATAGTCTCCAGTCTCCTCTGCGTAGTTAAATCCAGCATGGCAGCCAAGATGTGAATTCGCTTTGTTCAAAAATTTTTTACATGTAACTCAAACGACAATATCTATTCAAGATTCAAAGTAAGTGGAGTGAGTTCTTTAAGTCAACATCTTGCATTCTGAGACACATTAAAATTCTGATGATGCATTTTTTGCATTTTGCTTGCGTAAAAATGCACGATTTCTGCGTTAACGCAATCTCTGGTCTTTAGAGCCTGCTTGAAACCCTGAACACTCAGGATACTCCTGATAGATGAAGGAAGTGTGTTCCACAGTGAGGGGCCAACACGAGCAAAAGTCCCAACATCTTACTGCACTTCGTTTTGGGACCTTTAATTCTTATTTCTTAGCTGGTATTGGATCTTAAATTGTATGAACCACCCTCCTTGAAGCTTATATTTTACAATTTCGATAAAATATTCCTGTCTGATCTGTATGGGCAGTGCATCATTAGTAAATGCCTGTACAGATCTCCAACTCACAATTTTATTATGTCTTG